TATATATATATATATATATATGGACTACACTGGAAACACATGTCAAGAAACACCCTGCTTGCCTCCAGGGTGCCCTGGGTTTCTTGCGAATCGATGCTATTGCGATGGGAAGCGCGACGCTTCCGCACCAAAAGTCAATGGACGCCCTGGGATCTCAGGGTTGGGTTTTTCGTGGAAGGTTTCGTGTGGTCGAGCTCCTACTGCAAGGCGCGTGGGTCAGCGAGGGGTCCCGCTTCCGCACAGAATCGGCGCGCTCCGCCACCACTTCGGGCGGCACGGGCGCCATTTCTCGGGGGTTCCTTCCCCGATCCACGGATCTGGCGACCGCGCACCGGAACTCCCATAGCAGATTGCCAGCCTGAAGCGCATGTCGCCGCGGCGTTTGTCCCGACGCGCGGCATTTCGTCTTGGGGAGAGCGCCTCGGTCACGAGGGCAGATTCTGGCTCGGACACAGAGTTTGCCGTGGGTTTGCCGCGGCGTCGGCTTCGTCGTCTTGGGCGCGTTCAGAACAAACGGCGCGGCGACAGCTCTTATCTCGGTGCAGGTCGTAAGGATTCCCTCGGTCTCTGAAAGCACGTCCTTGAGATTTTCATCGTTTTGGGTTTGTCGCTCTTAGGTGTAGAGATAAGCTCGAGGCTGGTGATCATCCATATTCCTCACCATCGTCTGCGGCATCTGGGATCACGGTCACATCAGACCCTCTCGCGTCGTGAAGGAAATCGCGACGGGAAGTATTTGACAATTATTGGCCTGTGGGGGCCATTCGGGACCTCCGTGATGTCAAAAACGCCTCAGGATGAAAAGCTGGTCCCCGGGAAGGGGTCCAGACCTTGGGGGATCCACGTCATGAACAACTGGCGACGTCGGAGATCTGGTTTTCGGGCCCCCGGGGCCGTCGGAAATCGGTTCGAGCTGAGAAAGTGGCCAGGGGGGTCTAAAATCGGTGCGCACACCGATCTCGAGCGAACTCTGGAGTGTGGGCAGAGACGTTTCGAACACGACCGATGCTCTCCCTCGCTCCCGCCTCTCTTGAGCATCCTCCTGTCGGGCAAACTTAAGACTCGAGTGAGCCGGAACTCGGGTTTGCCGACGTTTCTTGACGAGCGCGCCTTGGATTTTGTCCGCCCAGTTTTTGTGGGACGCCTGCAGCGGGAGCTCGGGTCAAATTTCAGATTGGGTCTCGTCATTTTTATGATGGCCCCATCAGGCCAACCTCAAGAAGGAAAAAAATAGACTCAATGAATCGTCGAGTCCCAGGAAAAGATGGGAAAGCATGGGAAGTGGGAGGGGGAAAACGAAACTCCAGAAAACATGGGGAATCATGGGGGATCCTGGGATTTTGTTTTTTTTCTTTTTGTGTGTGTGTGTCCTCGGGCCCCGTCAGGCCAACCCGAGTCCCCCCGTGCCCGAGTCTTACGTCTCCCCGATCCTTGGGGCCCCTCGGTCGCCGTGCCCAGACTCGCTCCAGAGTCCTCCTCCTCCTCCTCCTCCTCCTCCTCCTCCTCCGCCTCCCCCTCCTCCTCCTCCGCCTCCTCCTCTTCCTCCTCCTCCTTCTCCTCCTCCCCCTCCTACTCCTCCTCCGCCTCCTCCTCATCCTGGATTCCCTTCGGGGATCATCCGTTTAAACTGTAACGATACAGAGAAGATTAGCATGGCCCGTGCGCAAGGATGACACGCACAAATCGAGAAGTGTATGCAATGTTTCGCTGTGCGTGAGATGGGTCGCCGCGCGATCCAGCGCTCGGCCGGGGCCCCCGAGGATCCCTGCATTGACGAGGACTCCTTGTTTAGGGGCCAGTTTTGTCGCACTGCCTTTTGGGCCAACCCATACCATACCATACCATACCATACCATACCATACCATACCATACCTCCTCCTCCTTCCCCTCCTCCTCCTCCTCCTCCCCCTCCTCCTCCTCCTCCTCCTCCTTCTCCTCCTCTGCGGGGGCCTCCCGCGGGGTGAGGTCCTTCCTCCTCCCCCCGAGAGGCCGCCGAGGCGCAGGGCCAGGCCATCCGCGAGGGGCTGGCCGAGGTGCTGCCGAACCGCCAGCCGGGCGCCGAGAAGGGCAGGAAGAGGAAGGAGGGGAAGCAGGAGCAGGACTCGGCTGCGAGCGAGGGGGGAGGGAAGGGAGAACCCTGACCTTCCAGAGCGCAAATAAACAGCATTCCAGACCTGTAGATCTAGCTGGACTGCCTCAAACCTCGACAGGAATCAGGACGTCGACGCCCTGGTGCTGCTTTTTAACCCCCCCTGGAAGGTCAGGGAAGGAGGAGGCCTTCCCAGAAGGCGGCGGGGCTTCTCAGAAGCCCTCGCGCCTTCTTCGGAGAAGGTGCCCGTGCCTTCGGGGAAGGCCTCTAGACAGCTTCTCACAAGGCCTGGGGACTTCCGAGACTTTTGAGAAGGCCCGCCGCTCCTCACTTCTCCGTGGGCCCGTCGCCGAAGGACGACGTCTTCTACAACCCGGCGCAGGTCTTCAACCGCGACCTGTCCGTGGTGGTGCTCTCCGTGTTCGCCCGGGTCCGGAGGCAGGAGCTCGAGGAGAAGCACAAGAAGCGGGAGCAGCGCGCCAAGGAGACGGGCGGGGTCGCGCGGCCAGGGCCGTCCCCTGGCCTGAAGATCCTGGAGGCCCTGGCCGCGACGGGCATCCGGACCATCAGGTACGTCAAGGAGCTCGGGGAGGGCCCCGACGGGGTCCGCAAGGTCGTTGCCAACGACCTGGACCCCAACGCGGCGGCGCACATCCGGCGGAACCTCAGGCACAACGGGGTGCCCGACGATCGGGTGGAGGCCATCTGCTCCGACGCGAACGCCCACATGTACACCCACCGCGCCAGGGGAGCCAAGGGCATGGGCGACCAGGCCTACGATGTCATCGACCTGGACCCCTACGGCACCTGCTCCCCCTTCCTCGACGCGGCGGTGCAGGCCGTGGCCGACGGCGGCCTGCTGTGCATCACGTCGACGGACATGCCCGTGCTGGGCGGCAACCACCCGGAGACCTGCTTCGCCAGGTACGGCGGGTCCTCCCCGAAGGCCAGTTACGTGCACGAGATGGCACTGCGGCTGGTGCTGCACGCCGTCGCCACCAGCGCGGCCAGGTACGGGCGGGCGGCGGCTCCGCTCGCCTGCTTCTCCATAGACTTCTACGTGCGCCTCTTCGTGCGCGTGTTCGACTCCCCGGCCACGGCCAAGCGGCACGCTTCCAAGACCGGGATCGTCCACCAGTGCGTGCAGTGCGAGAGTTTTTGGGTGCAGCCCCTCGGCGAGATAGCCGGCGAGGAGGAGAAAAAGGACGAGGCGAAGCGCTTCAGGCTGGCCCAGGCCGTGACCCCCGGGGGGGACTGCAACGAGTGCGGAGGGCGAGTGCGGATAGGCGGCCCCATGCACATCGGACCGCTGCACGACCAGGACTTCATCCAGAAGCTGCTGGATGCATGCGAGGAGTGCGGGCAAGACTTCTACTCATTTCCACTGCGCCTCGGATATTCGGACTCCACTCCTGAGAAACCCGAGGCGCAATGGATAATTTTGCATAAGGTGTGAGATGTGTGGCCTCGTAGCGAGACCAGACTTTTCATTCGCATCCATTGCGTCTCAGGTTTCTGTCGCATTCCTTCCCCAAGCGTCCACGACGCCGTGGACATGCACACAGAACTTGCCCGCAAGGAGGACAGGCGGTCACAGCTGCCTGGGGTCACCAGCTGGAAGAAGGTGACCGGACTGATCACCGCCATCTCCGAGGAGCACGATCTGGCGCTCTACTACAAGCTGCCCCAGCTCTGCAAGGGGCTCAAGCTGCCACCCGTGCCCCTCCGCCAGTTCCGGGGCACCCTGAGGGAGCTCGGGTACCGCGTCTCCCACTTCCACCGCGAGCCCGAGGCTGCGAAGACAGCTACGGGCTACGATGACGACGAAGCCGACGCTGAAGGCGACGGTGAAGGCGGTGACAAAGACGACGACGACGACGACGACGACGACGACGACGAAGGCGAGGACGGCGGCGCTGACGACGACGAAGACGACGCGCTGGGTGGCTGCTTCCCTCGCGGCGCGTAACGTTGGCGCGTGCGCGCGCTCGCACGCTCGCGTGCGCCCGCGCTGGCCAGAGGCTGTGAAGACGGACGCCCCGAACTCCGTGGTCTATGACCTCATGCGGGTCTGGGCCGAGGATCAGCATTGTCAGACTCGGTGAGACGCAAGACTCGAGTTCACCGAAGCTTCCTGGCGGCCCCAATGGGCCACCCCGAGTCCCCCAACCCCAGTCTTAAGTCGGGCCTGTCCCTCTACAGGAGGAGTACCCAAAAGTAGTAAAAAATAGTGTGGGGACGATGTTCGACTTTTTCTGTTGATTCCTACTTTTGACTATGTTGGGGTATTGCTTGACTACTGCTAATTTTTCCTCCAAAAATCCGCCTGTAGGGGGACATGCCCGACATAACCCGAGTCTTATACGTCGCCGCCGGCAGAGCCATCCCCATCCCCAGCGGGCCAGGGCTCTTCGGCGCCACCGGCCGACCCCCAGGTGCCGAGAGAAACTGGGCGCAGGCGGCATCTAGCCCCACCCCAGGGGGGGCAGACCCGGACAGCAGCGCGGCCGAGGTCTTCACGGTGGAGACGGGGATAGGTCTGCACGCCGGTCGTTGAAAGCAGGCATTTTGGGGGACTGTCGGGTCCCAATCTGCTTCATGCGCCTTCCTGCTTCAAGGATCGAGCGCTTTCACCTTTTTCCTCGTCCTCGGAGGGCAGGCGGAAGCCCAATCTCCCTAACTACTGCATGTTTCTGCCCACTCTTTCGGCCGACGGGTATATCGATGCCGAGAGGAGCACCCGCCGAAGTCGGTGCAGCTGCCGAAGCTCATGAAGAAGGAGGTCTCTCCTTCGGGCCTCCGTCGGACGGGCTCGGTGATTAGCGAGGGCGCCCCTTCGCCAGGATGACCTCTGGTGTGGGCTGACGGAGGAGGACAGCCCTCCAGGACTTCCAACGGCGTCTGGAGGGGTTACGCTCATTCGATGCTCGTTTGGGGGACCTTCCTGGGGCCCACCGAACAGATCTATTCGACTCCAGTTCGACTCATGTTCGATTCAAGTTCGGCTCAAGTTCGGCTCGGTTTCGACTCAGGCTCGACTCGAGTCGACGCACGAGCGGAGCGAGTGGCTTCAAGAGAGTCCCCAGGATGAGCATCTGACACTCAGGCTGGCTCGCCCCACCCGAAAGCAGCACGCCTGAGGTCAGCATTGGCATGGGTCACCCTCACGCGGAGCCAGCTGGCTTGCTTTCAATCCATGCGCTGTTCTTGCGAATTTTGACTCCCCAGAGGGGGGTGGGTGGGTGGACATGTCTCAGCTTGGGACCATGCAAACATTGTTGCGCACAGGACGAAACCAGGCAGTTTCAAGGGGTCGCCACTTGGGGGTTCGCCACCACCACCCGAGAATCGGGGGCCGAGCAGGGGAGCATCGAGGCTCGAATCGGTTTTTGGACGATTTGGCTTTTTGGGTGGGTTGGTTGCGAAGGTGCCGGGGTCCCCAGAAGTTCCCCTCATCGGGATGATGTTGCTGACACGCATTTGGCATTGCCTGGGCTGGGGCCCATGGATTGAATAAGTCAGGCCGTCGAGCAGTGGCGAAGCGTCCTGGCTTGCCTATAGGCCCACCAAAGAATGTTATAAGAAACATTTGTGGTCTTCACGACATGTTCTTTGAACCTGTCTGGCTAAGACTGTTTTGTAACGCAGCGGGCTTATGATCTAAGAAGATCGTGCTTGATACTAGAGCACTAGGGGGTTCTAAGAACACTTCGTGGTATGCCTAGGCCAATAGGAATGCCGAGACGGTCGGCTCCTGCTCAAGAGGGAGGTGGACCAGCACCACTAAACTTCAGATCTGCTGGAGGGGGGGAGGAATCTTCCCTGTCGCTTCAGGGTTTCGGCGAGCTGGCCATGTTGCTAGTATTCCTCCTCCTCCTCCTCCTCCTCCTCCTCCTCCTCCTCCTCCTCCTCCTCCTCCCCCTTCTCCTCCCCCTTCTCCTTTTCCTCCCCTCCTCCCCCTTCTCCTTCCCCTTCTCCTCTTCCTCCTCCTCCTCCTCCTCCTCCTCCTCCTCCTCCTCCTCCCCCGTTCCGTTGCTATTTTGGCTCAAGGTGGGGACAGGCCCCATTTGAGTGAGGCAGCCTCTCTTCCGAGGCCATCCTGGAGTCAAGTCCAGGCGGACACTTCCCCCGCCGGCGTGCTCGCGCCCGAGCCGTCGGCCTTCCCTCTCCGCTTGCCGCCATACCTGAAGTTGGCGAGGGTATCGCACAGATCCTCGAGCAGCTCGGTGGGATCACAGGACGTTTGACAAGCATCGAATCCGCGTTCCCTGGCATCCACGAACTTCGCGTCTCGCTCTCAGCCCAGGAGACCGCCATGCAAGGCATCAACAAGCGCATCGGTGTGTTCGAGGCGAACATGCGTGCATCGGCTGAGGCAGGTGCTCTCGCTGCCCTTCGCGCCGACCTTGAGAGCCGCATCGCTACTATCGAGACATCATCGGCGCAGAGCTCAGCAGGGGACCCCTCGCTAGGCCCACCCGCTTCGCGTCGGAGGTTGTCGGCACCACCGAGTCATGTCAATTCGAGAGTGGGAGATGAGCACTACCCGTGCAAGGTGTGGATAGGCGGCTTCACGCGACCGGTGCTGGCGACCACCATGGAGGCGCACGGAGGCTGGCGTGAGCATCGAAGCCCACGACCTCGCCAAGAGCTATTCTATCACGTTCAACAGCTCTTTCGACGCCTCCTCGTTCGTCGACCTCGGCAGGGCCCACGGCATCCTGTGGCAGGACAGCGCGTCTGGCACCAACATCCCCCTCCGCTGCAGGAAGGACGCGCCAAGCTCGGTTTGGCAGAAGAACCAAGTCCTTGGCAAAATATGGCAGGCAGTCAACACCCACCTGCGGCAAGCAGGCGCATGGAACGAGCAGCGGTTCAAGCTAGGAGTCAATGGCTTCAGGGGCATCCTCTTCATCGCTGTCGGGGAGGTCGTGCACGAATTGTTCTCGGTCGAGGAGGGTGACTGCGGCCAGTACGAGATTATCCACTCCCCCGACGGCATCGCCCAGTTCAACATCTCGCCTGAGCAGGCGGGCTCCATCATAGCGACAGCGCGCACAAGCTAGGGGTCCCCCACGCCGTTTCGATCAGGGATAACGTATTCGTCAGGGCGCCTGGTATGAGGGTTCCATACCAGCCATGCATTTCCTCTCCTGTGTCGGGCTCTTCCTCTTCCGCGTATTCTGGCTCTTCCTCCTCGTCTGGGTCTTCCGCGCCGTCTGGGCCTTCGAGGTTCCCGTCTTCGCCTGGGCCTGAGTCTTTCCGCCCTATTCCTGGATCCTGGACACACTCACCATACATAGTCAAGACACATATCAGTTTTGCATCCTGGAACGCTCGATCGCTCTTCGGGGGGCTCATTGCATGTCTGGATACCGCCAGAAGAAAAATGTCACGCCTAGTAACCTGCATCCAGAAATGCCATGTCGTGTGCATCCAGGAGGCCAGGGGCTCTTTTCTTGACCTTCAGAGAGTCTGCTCAGAAGTTTACGACTCATGGGGTATTGGGTCTTTCTTCGAGGGTTGCTGGAGGCGTAACTATTTTTCTTCATCCGTAGCTCCGCGACGATTTCAAGTACTGCAGGTACGCCGAATTAGTCAAGGGTCGCATCCAATCTCTCACTCTTGCTGATCCCAGAGGCACTCTCCAAATCTCTAACATCCATCTCGATCCTGCTCTCCCTCTCAGTGAACAGCAACGGCAGCTCATGGTTCTCCGTCGTACTCTCCTTCCCGCCCAAGCTGCTGCAAGTTTTGTGCTCGGTGACTTCAATTTCCCCAGTCAAGGCGAAGGCTCGTTTCACGTCAGTGGTGTTGTCAACTATTCCAGCAATGGTGCTGCTGCTTTCTTACCCCAACACTTCGGTGACCTGTGCGAAATCGAACAGACGTCTTTCACGCTCAGGGTTACTCAGGAGGTCGAGGGAGTTCAGAAGATCGTGGGCATGAACCGTATCGACAGAATATACACAAACATATTCAGCGCTATCCTCCTCGAGCTCCACCCCAAGTCTCTCACCCTCGCCCCGATCTCGAAAGTAGGTCAGCTTTCTGATCACGCACTGGCGTGTCGCACATCATCCCCGGGTGGCAAGATGGGCTTCAGAGTTCTTGCATGGGTCCCCGAGCACGCGCACTTCCTGATCTGTGTGCAGGAACTGCGCGACGCTGTTGGCCCGCTCGACATCGATCCCACCATGCGCCACAATCAGATGAAGGGTATCTTAGTTCAGGCGAGTAAGAACGTCCTACAGCAGAGCATCGAGCAGGCCAACAAATCCGTCACGGAAAAGATAACTTGGTCTCTCTCAGCTCTGCGAGGCACTCTGCGCGGTCTGTTGTGGCTGGTCGGCAAGGCCCTGGGAGCGCAACCGCTGCTCGCCAAGTTTCTCTGCCCGCAGTCTGGCCTTTGGATAGATATGCAAGCGTTTCGCTCTCACCTGACTGATCTCAAGAATGAGCACATCCAGCAACAGCTGAGCGAGGTCGAGCAGCAGCCGATTTCCGACCAGCGTAAGCAAGAAGCCAATATATCATTTTTACAGATATCAGTCTGCGCGGGGGCGGAAGCACCGCAGGATTGCTCTTGCTGGCGTGTCCGACCCGACTGGCAAGGCCATTACCGAGCCAGGTCAGGTAGCGATGCATCTTGCCGACCACTGGGGCAAGGTTCATCAAGGTATTCCTGGATCTGTCGAGGACCGACAACAGCTGCAATATTTTGCCCAGACATGCCCACCCAACATTTTCTGGAAGCTGGAGCGTCTGGAATTTGAGGAGCTGATTTCTCGTACTGGGGATTCGCGCCCTGGGCCCGACGGCATCCCATATGCCTGCTATGCAAAAGGTGGTGCAGCAGTTGTCGACTCCTTGTGCGCCCTTTACGCCGTCCTGCTCGAGCAGGGCTACCTTCCGCCAAAGTTCAATCGGGGCATGGCCGTTTCCCTTGCCAAGGGCATCGACCCAAATGAGACCTCCTCCCAGATCATTCGTAAGCCTGAAACTACCAGACCGATTACTCTCTCCAACTCCGACAACCAGCTCATCCCCCTTGCCATCAACAGACCTTCTTCTCATATTGCCTCCCAAACTGTGATTGCTAACCAGCGGGGGGTTATTCATGGGAGATACATGAATGAAAACATCATCGACCTCGAGAGTCGGGCAGTAATGTGGTATGCTAAGTCTGGGCACGCGCATGCTGGTGTGCTATGATTTGACGTGCGGTCCGCGTTCCCCAGCCTCTTGCATGATGTGTTCTTCTGGGTCTTAACCGGTATGGGACTCCCGTCTAACATCCTAAGGTGTATTCAGGCCCTGTACACAGATGTCTCCATTGAAATCAATTTCTGTGGGCTCCATGGGCACTCCTTTCTGGCTTCTCGTGGGATCAGGCAGGGCTACCCGCTTTCAGGATTTATCTTCTGCATCGTCTTCGATCCGAGTTAACGTTGCATGCTTGCGAGGATCCCTAGTGACTTGTCTTGGCTTACCGCATTCGCAGACGACGTCGGCGTCGCTGCCGCGAACATCTTCACGACCTTTAAAGCTCTGATTCTGTGCTGGCATCTCGCTGGCGCTGCCGCTGGTCTGCATATACATCTCTCTAAGACGATTCTCGTGACCCTCGGCAGCCTCAGCGTCGCCGAATGCCAGCAGCTCATGCGCGAGATAGGAGTTTGCCCAGATAACCTCAACTTCGAGCGTCTTGGACAGTATTTTGGGATATTCCTTGGCAGCGGTGGGCGGGATCTCTCTTGGCTCGCCCCATCCAGTAAGTGCATTTCGAGGGCTCAGGATGTCAAAAGTCCCGGCCTCGGTCTTTGCACGTCCATCGTGTGCTTCAACCTTCTCTCCTTCTCGGTCCTCTCGCATGTGATGCAGTTTTACCCGCCTCCGAAGGCAGCGTTCACGGCCGTCAGAAAAGCCCAGCAGAGTCTGACGAACGCCCCGAACAATAGCCGGTCCCAGGGGGTCCTCCAGAATCTCAAAGCGTGGGGCTTCCCAATTCAGGCCAGAGCTCTGGCGCCAGCTGCGCGTGCAGCCATGTATCGCACTGCAGTTATGTCCGCGGCGTTCGACCACGCCAAAGCAGTCATCGAGAGCGAAGGTGATGATTCTCTATTGCATTGGCAGCGGAACGCAGTGTATCAGGAGTCCCCCATCTCCCATCTCATCTCCAACTTCAACACCGTGTCTCGGATCCCGACCATGCCCGCCTTCGGAGATTCCAGATTCCAGAGTCGATCTGAGTCCGCCCTGAGTGCCCTCTCTCCTTTCCCCCTCCGCTCTGTCCTGTGCGATCGCCTGAGCAAATTTGGCGTGATTCCCACTCCCGACCAGCTCGACCTCATGGCTCTTGCTTTGAAGCGTGTCTCTCGCGTCGCTCCCACTTGCGTGTCCAGCAGTGTTGTCCGCGCTATATGTAATGCCTGGTGCACCACCCGCCGTTTTCGAGGTGCACCGAGCCGCGTCGTTTTTGCCACCAAGCCAGCGCAGATAGTATGCTACACACCTTGGTCTGCGCGTGCACGTCCCATGTCATGTCGCTGCTTCCTAATCTTCCTCCCGACTTCCGTACTCATACAGCGGGTGCGCGTGCGTCGGTGTTCAGCTTACTACCTCTCTGTGATATGCAGCTCCTCTCTGTCGCTTTGTGTCTTGATATCTGTTGCACAGCTTATCATGAATTAAAACACTGGCCTCGGACGAGCCCGCTCGCGGAGCGGGCTCGGCTTCTCAACTTCGGCGTGGCGCGCATCCGCCAACTGCGCAGGCGGGCCCCGCCCCTTTTCTCTGTTGTCTTTGCTGCAGCAGGCTGAGCCATGGAGGGGGTCGTCGTCTCGCCGTCGTCGGTCGTCCTTTGGGGCTGTGTACTCCTCCTCCTCCCCCGTCTCTTCCCCCTCCTCCTCCTCCTCCTCCTCCTCCTCCTCCTCCTCCTCCTCCTCCTCCTCCTCCTCCTCCTCCTCCTCCTCCTCCTCCTCCTCCTCCTCCACTCCCTCCGCCGACCCCATCCTCCAGCTTCTCGCTTTCCTGCTCGCCCGAGCCCCCGAGGCAGCACAAACGCTCCCAAGCAACAGTCGCGGCAGCAGCACTCCCTGCCCCGCCCCACCGGGCCCCCCCAGGGCCTTGGGGGGTCCTCGCGCGGACCAGCCCGGCAAGGCGTTGCGGGAAGACGGTGCCGAGGACTACCGCCGTGACCTGTCGCAGAAGAATGCTAGGAACGTTTGCTTAGCGCGTTGCGTCGACGATTCTGGCCTACTGCGTTTCGGCGCGACACGCCAGGCACGTCCCAGTCCCCAGACATCCATGTTTCCCAGGCTCCTCCCGGCCTCCCGCCCCACGAAGCAGAGCGGCGCGCCATCTACTTGCAAGGCACAACGTGTCGTAGGGGCCGGAAGCGACAGGGGAGGCGAGGAGGAGGAGGAGGAGGAGGAGGAAAAGGAGGAGGAAAAGGAGGAGGAGGAGGAGGAGGAGGAGGAGGAGTAGGAGGAGGAGGGAGAGGAGAAGGAGAACGAGGAGGAGGAGGAGGAGGAGGAGGATGAGGAGGAGGAGGAGGAGGACGAGGAGGAGGGGGAGTCCGAGGAGGAGGAGGAGGACGAGGAAGAGGAGATGGAGCAGGAGGAGGAGGAGGAGGAGGAGGACACTGATAGCGGATGTCTGGGAGTGCAGTGCCGACCCGGGAAGTCCGGCGGACCTCCGAGAGCGCATCTTTGTGTCGTCGTCTCGTCTTCTGCTCTGGGGATTGGTGGTGCTGGCCAGCTTCCCTTTCCCCAGGTCTCCCTCAAGCGGCCCATCGAGTGGAGGACGGATCTTCCTACCCCTTTCACTTGGGGCCATGCCTCGTCCATCTCGGCCTCCATCTCCTCCACTCGAGGTTCCTCCCTCCAGTTCCTGTCTGTCCTCCTGCGCCTCGTTTTCTCCACTTCATCCCCCCATGCTGCTCGCTCTCCACCTCCTCCTTCACAGCCTGCGCTTCATTCTCGCCCGCCTCCTCCTCCTCCTCCTCCTGCTCTCTCCCTCTTGTCCTACTATGAGGACCCCGGACCTGTCGTCCTGTCGTTCTCCCCATCCTCATCCTCCTCCTCCTCCTCCTCCTCCTCGTCATCATCATCATCATCATCATCATCATCATCATCATCATCCGCCACCTCTCTCCCCGGACGCTCCAAACTCCCGCTCGCCATGTTCGAAGTTCGTTTCATCCTTCCTCCCCCCCTCCCTCCTCCTGCTACACACCCTCATCCATATTATTCCTCTCCTCTCCTCTCTCGTTATCTCACCTCTCCCCCATTGACATCCTCCCAATATCTTGCTCTCTTGTTGTTGCTCTCTTGATTGTTCTCTCTCTCTCCTCCTCCGCCTCCTCCTCCTCCTCCTGCTCCTCCTCCTGCTCCTCCTCCTGCTCTTCCGTCTCCTCCTCCTCCTCCTCCCCTCCTCCGCCTCCTCCTCCTCCTCCACCTCCTCCGCCTCCTCCTCCTCCTCCTCCGTCTTCTCCTCCTCCCCCTCCTCCGCCTCCTCCGCCTCCTCCTCCTCCTCCTTGTCCCTCTCCTCCTCCTCCTCCCCCCCTTCCAGCATCCCCCCACTGCGCATAAGACGATGGGATCGCTCCAGGAGTTTCAGGTCCGCTACGGCACGCGTCGGCGGATGGAGACCAAACAGCGCAGTGGGTAGGGATCAGTGGGATTCGTAGGATGTCGGATACGGCACGAGCGCACCTACCTTGTCCTTCTCTCTTTCTCCTCCTCCACCTCCTCCTCCTCCTCCTCCTCCTCCTCCTCCTCCTCCTCCCCCTCCTCCTCCCCCTCCTCCTCCTTCTTCTCCTCCCCCTCCTCCTTCTCCTCCTCCGCCTCACCCCCCGCATCCTCCCTCTACGCGTCCCCCTCCTCCCCCTGCATGCCCCCGCTCCTCCCCCTCCGAGGACCGAGGAGGAGCCAGAGAGAAAGGCCAAGGTCGCGAAGTTCCTGCCGAACCCGGCGCCCAACTGGGGGCCGAAGCCCCGAGCGCGGGGAGGACTCGAGCCCGTGCCCGAATCCGTGCCGGAGGCCCAACGGGGGCGGCCCAACTGTCTGGAGTTCTTCGGATGCGCTTTTCAGGGGCAACGTTAGTAGGGGGGGATAGGCTCAGGGATGGACGCATCGACCCCCTATCGCCCGTCCATCGCCCAGCCCGATAGCCCACCCCGCCTGGGAGCGTTCGGTTTCACTACCGAGATCCGATCGCCGCTCTATCGGCGATTTGTCGCCGATTCCAGCTCGATGTTTCCGCCCCCGAGCTGGTCCCCCCAAGCGTTTCCCTGAGTTTTCGGTGCGCCTTCTCGGGGGAGGACTTTCCAAAGCCTTCCTCCTTTTCTCCCCTCTAGGCCCCTCCTCCACCTCAATCCCCCCCCTCCCCCTACTCTCTCGTTCCCCTCCCCCCCCCTCATCCGCTGACGACGCCGTCGACGACGACGGTCACGCCGTCGACGACGCCGTCGACGACGACGTTCACGCCGCCGACGGCGATGACGCCGCCGACGCCGACGACGGCGGCGCCGGAGATGGCGACGCCGACGACGACGCCGCCGCCGCTGCCGCCGACGACGGCGGCGCCGCCGACGGCGGCGACCTCCCTCGCAAGGCGGCCGCGCCCGCTGCCGCGGAGCCCGCCGCGGAGGCCCCCGCCGACCAACCGACCGTCCCACCGACCGACGGCAGCGCTCCGCCAGTGCTTTTTGTTGCGATCCGTGCGTGTCTCTTCTACTTCGGCCTCTCTTCGCCTTCTTGCTCCTCCGCCTTCTCCTCCTCCTCCTCCATCTTCTCCTCCTTCATCTCCTCCTCCTCCCCCTCCGATCTCTTGTATACGGGTTCGTATCTCTTCGATTTCGGCCTCCCGGGCCCGTTGTTCGGCCCCAGGGCCATGAGAAACGATCGGGGGGAAGGGTCGGGACCCGTGGGGCCGCGCATTGACATGGCTCGCGCCGTTCGATGTTTGGGACAGCGACGGCCGCGACGGCTGCAACGGCGGTGGCGGCGGCCGCTGCTGCGAAGGCGGCTGGCGTCGTCGTCGACGTCGTCGTCTCGGAGCTTGGAGCCAGTCTGGAGTCTCTCGTCGCCACGGCCAGACACGGCTCGACCACCTGGCCGGGATGACTTCTGTACATCGTCTTAGAGGACGGAGGGTGAGAAGAGGAGGAGGAGGAGGAGGAGAAGGAGGAGGGGAGGAGAGGAGAGTTGAGGAGAGGAGAGGAGAGGAGAGGAGAGGAGATTAGAAGGGATGAAAGGGACGAGATCACAGGAGGAGGAAAAGTAGGAAGAGGTGGAGATGGGCAGGGCACGCTGCTCGAATGCCCCCCCGTCTGAATGGGCACTTCAGGTAACCGGAGGACGGCGTTAGTCTTCGCAGGCAGCAGTGAGGAATGGGTGGTTGAGGTCAGACGGGCCGTCACGCAGGCCATGGATGAAGTCTGAACACTACGTTCACGCATGCATGCACGTCAGGAGGAATGCAACCAGAAGGCACAAGACAGAGAGGCACGGCATGCACGATCTTCTCGGTGTGTTTCTTGGGCGAACGCGCCGTAACGGGACAGGTTTGCAAGCTATGTGGCAGATTGTATTGCCGCCCGCGCGGGCTTTTCCGGCCACGGCTTCATCGTTCATCATTCTGCCTTCTCTCTTCATTATCCTCCTCCCCCTCCGCCGGCGCGCGAACACTGATATTTTTGTCGGGCTCCAGCGGGGGCGGGCACTCCAGGAAAGGCACTTGGGAAGTGATGCAACGAGCTTTCAATATTGAAGCATCTAGCGCGCCGAGCACCACTGCGACAAGCACAGGCGGCAACGGATCGAAGAAGGTTGCGGCGAACTTCCGCCAGCCCCTGCCTGTTGGGAGCGCCTATGTAGCCAAACATTGGGCCGAAGGCTTGCAAAGCTGTTGGCCCACTTGATCCCGCAGCCGAAACACTTGGGGAAGGAAGAGGGAGGAGGATGATGAGGAGGAGGAGGAGGAGGAGGAGGAGGAGGAGGAGGTGAGGGAGGCGACGAAGGAGAAGGAGGAGGAGGAAAAGGACGCCTCGTGGGGCCATCGTGGGCTCTCTCGGGGCCATTTGACGTCTTAGAGACGTCTTGGGACCGTCTTGGAGGCCATATCTTGGAGCCATCTTGGCCATTTTGGGAGTCTCCGGCGAAAGCACGTATTCGGGCGACGCCTCCAGGTCTTTTCGCAGGGCCGGCGGATCAGACCAGAGACCTTCGGGAATTGTTGCAGAAACCTTCCAACCTTACAACATCCAGCACGCCGAGCACCCTTGTGACAAGCACAGGGGGCGGCGAATCGAAGACGCCTTCAGCGAACCACCGCCAGCCCCTGCCTCTTGGAAGCGCATATGTGGCCAAACGGCCGAAGTCTTGCAAAGCTGTTGGATTACGTGCTCCCCCAGCAGATGTAAAAACGACAAACATTCATAATGGGAAGAGGGAGGAGGAGGAGGAGGAGGAGGAGGAGGAGGAAAGGGAGGAGGAGGAGGAGGAAAGGGAGGAGGAGGAGGAAGAGGAGGAGGAGGAGGAGGAGGAGGAGGAGGAGGAAGAGAAGGAGGAGGGGAGGGCCTCTTGGGGGCTTCTTTGGCAGTCTTGGCGCGATCTGCGGTGCTTGCGGGGCCATTTTTGAGCGTCGGAAGCCTGAATAGACGAGAACTCTAAAATCTATGAAAACCGCAAAAGGGCAATGAATGGGCTAGACCTCCCAGAAGTCTTATTGGAGCCCTTTTGGGGCGGCTGGGGGGCCTCGTGGGCCGCGTGGAGGCCTCGTTGGGCCGTCTTGGGGCCATCGTGGTCGTTGTGGAGGCGCCTTGAATGCCATCTTGGTGGCTCACCTCGACCGCCTTGGATAGATATGTGTTGTGGATCTGCGCGGTTTTATTGGTTCTTCCAGGTGGCCAGCGGGCTGGACGAGACATTGGGTTTTAGCTTTCGAACCAATATGAAATCGTGTACGCCGTGTGCCCCAATGGCAAGCAACAAGGGGGGCGGCGGTTCTAGTGGCCTTCGGCCCGTCCCGCCGCATTGTCTAGCCGTCTAGCCTGAGGGTCAGAGGCCTCGTGGGTGCGTATGCTGGTATTTGGGGATGTCTCTTGGGAGCCTGTTCCTTTTGGGCGCAGTTGGTGGGCCCCTGTTGGGGCGTGGGCTCTCTCGGGGGCCTCTCGGGCCATCCTGGAAGAGCCAGGAGCCCGAAAACGCGAGCATGTTAAAATCACATATTGATACACAGACACATGAATGACGATACCCACAGCAACATTAACAACAATAACTCCAACAACCACATCATCAACAACAACAGCAGCAGCTACAGCACCAGCAACAACACCATAACCAACAACAATACCAACCACAGCAATAACAACAACAACACCAACAACAACAACAACACCATCAACAACAACGGCAAAGACATCCACAGTCAGACTCGTAGCACCAACAGCTATACTCATACTAGGAAGAAATACTATTATAACGAATCGTATCAGTAGTACGAATCATACGAAGGTAAAGAAGACAGTGTAACACGAGTACGAATAATAACATAAGAGTTTACAGCAGTTCTAGTATTAATAGCAACAACAGCCATGCCAACATGTGTAATGTAAGTGGTAATGCAATGAGTTTTGCATCTGGGGGCCCTCCTGGGGGACCTCTTGGAGCCCTCTTGGGGCGTTTGGGGGTCTCTTGTGCACCCCTCCGGGCCACTCTGGGCTTCTCTCAGAGCTCTGTGGCCGCATCGGGAATCCCTATGCACTATCCTGGAGGCCTCTCGGAGCCCTACTGGCCTGCGTCGGAGCCCTCATTGCCTTTGGAGAGGTCACGGGGAACACGCGGCATAGCGCACAAGAGCGCCAGGAGCTCGGGGCTGTGGGCCCCGTGTAAACTATGATTCGTTCTGATAAAAAGAGGACCAGATATTTGAGGACACTCCACTTCCTGCCTCGGGGAACGGCGACGGCTACGTTTGTGTAATTAGTGCGAGGGAGTGGGGGAGAGAGAGAGAGAGAGAGAGAGAGAAAAAAAAAAGAGAGGTGGAGAGAGAGAGAGAGAGAGAGACACACACACACACCTGCAAAACAGGAAAAGAGAGAGAGAGAGAGGCAGAGCGCAAGAGAGAGAGATACATATAGAAAGAGATAATGAGCGATAGAGAGAGAGAGAGAGAGAAAGCTCAAGAAAGAGAGAGAGAGAGAAAGAGACAACTAATTTGAGAAAGAGAGATAGGGAGAGATAGAGACAGAGATAAAGAGAGAGAACCAACAGAGACACAACAGCACGTATCTTTCAGTTTCGAGGGCCTGGGAAAGTGTGTGCACAGTGAATGGCGTTATTGCGCTTGTTGTTGGCTTGCTCCGATCCTCTGCGAGAGGCGGCCCAGGAGGTGGCCTGAGGGCACGGCGGCGGCAGCCGCAATAGTTTCTGTTGACTTGCCCCGCTCTCTCTCTCGAGAGAGGCGGCTTGGGAGGTGGACTGAGGACTCCGCGGTGGCAGCCAGAACTGGGCGTGCCGCTGCACGTGTTTCCAGGACGCGTCTCGCCGCCAGCTGCCTCGGCAGCTGCTCGAGGCCCGTGGTCGGACTGCCTCGTCAGACGCGCGCCGGGCCCTCGCCGCCCCAGTTTTGCCTCGGCCCTGCCCTGCCCCCCCCCCGCTCCACCTCTCGTGGCCACTGTCCTCCTCGTTCTCCGCCCCCCCCCCCTGGGAGGTCAGGTTAGATTCTGAGTCGGCGCTGGCATATCACTGATCGACAACTGATCCACTCTGGTTAGTTACACCCCGCTCGATCCAGCTCGATCCCGCTTGATGTGGCTCGATCCCATTCAGTCCGGCTTGATCTGTGGCCCCTTAATATTGGCGAAGACCTCCCATGAGTTTCCTCACCTCCCTTTTCCTTCTCCGTCCCTTCCTCCCTCCCTGCCCCCTTGCCACCCACCTCCTGCTTCCCTCCTCCCACCCCCTCGCAGAAAGGGCCCCAACTGGCGCAGCGCGGAGGCGCCCTGTACAGTTGGGAGACGGCAGGAGCTCCAAAAAGAAGTCGGCAGTCGTCTTCGCCGCTGCTGTCGCTGTCGCCCTCAAGACGCGCTGTTGGTTCATTCATAGCCCGGCGCCGCGACGGAACAAATACTACCAATTTGGGGTTAGCTTGGCCCCTGGGGTCCGCCGTCGTCATCGCCGCCGCTGCCGTCGCTGACATCCTCGAGGACGCCGTCGGTTCGGTTAAATCTGGGCGCCGTCGGTTCCGTTAAATCTGGGGGCCGCAGCAGGAGAACAGAGTGGCAACCAGTTTGGGGCGATTTCGGCCCTTGGGGTCCGCTTCCCGGCCCTAGGGCCGTCCACAGTAATTAATTGCTCAGGATGTGAAGCTGGTCCCAGAGGACGGGATCGAGACATACGTCTTCTCCCTCTTGCTTCCCTCTCCTTGAAGAGCCAGGGGGCGCTGATGCAGCGACGACCTCCTCGTAAGGAGAGTCGATGCACGAACTGTCTTTTTCCTTGATGCACGTCTCCCCGCACGCTCGCGTTCCAAGCTGCTCGGAAAGGAAAGGAAACCTCAAGGGCCCGCGGGCTGGAGAGATGAATCCGTCTGAAGGCTGGGACAGTCGTCCCCTGCGTCGCGAGGCACAGCACGATGGCCAGCTCTGCTCGCGATCACTGCCCTCCGCGGCAGGCTGCTTCTAGGTCCCCAGGCCGTCGGCAAAGTACCCGTAATGAAACGCCGGCCCCGAATAGCTTCTGGCAAGATAGTTGCATACACAGTTCAGCGCAGGCGGGAGAGTAGGGTTTGCAGCAGCGTTTCCCCACCTCCGCAGCAATGTGCCTCAGAGGCCCCACGGAGGGCCGTACTAACAACACGCATTTTGCATTGTACGCGCGTTGAGTCCAGAGCAAAAGTCGTTAGGGGCGAGAGCCCCGATTCGGGCTATGTCGTGAAAACATCACGCCACCGGAGGTGTAGGAACCATTCGTCGTCTGGTCTGCTCTTGAGAGGGTCCCCTCGCTCGTCGAGGGTGCCAGTGGGCTGATATTTCCACGAAGAGGAGCAGGAGAAGGGAGGGTCGGATGGGGCTAGGACGAGGATACATCCGTTCCAAGCGTCCCGGAACGCTCCCAGGGCATTCCGGAACGCTCTGAGAAGGCCGCGGCGCCCGGGACATCCTCTAGAGCCGCCAGTGTCTCAGAGACTCTCGATGTATCCTCGCCCAGTCTTGTCCTCGTCTTGGCTTCGTCTTCGAGGGGGGGGGGAAGCGGGCGGTGGCAGAGGTTCTGCTGCCGCCCCGGGTCCTGACCGCCAGCAGCGCCCGAAAGCCTCCCCCCCCCCCCCCCCCAGGCCCCCGAGGGTCGAGGGCCAGGCGTGGCCCGACAGGGCAGGGTGCCACTCCCGGGATCGACTACGCGCAAGAGTGACCTTTCGCCGAAGTGACCCTTGGTGCGGGCCCAAAGGGGGGCCCCCCGATCGCCGAACGCGATGCGGTATTAGCGTCTTGCGCGCTCGTGTCTGGTCCCCCCGCGGCTCCCAATGAACCGCGCGCCGAAGGTCACTCTTAATTACCCAAGGTCACTCTTGCGTCTAGTCGATGGGAGGTGAACTTCTGTGCGGTGGGGGCGTTCGTGAAGGACCGCGTTCAGGAGGCTTCAGGGACCCTGGAGGACTCCGTGCCCGACGAGGGCAGTGGCAACATCCAGGGCCGAGCCTCCACTGGTGTTCCACGAGCTTCCGGGCCCTGGAGTCCTGATCTGAGGGTTCCTGATCGAACGACGCTGGCCTCTCCAGCTTAGTCCTGGGCTCAGGGTCCGTCGGGGGGCGCAAAGCGGAGAGGGGGGGGTAAGTGGTGGGGGGGGGGGCAGCGAGGGCTACAGAAAAGGGGCCCTGAGGGCCCCTAAAGAGGCCCTCAGGGGCCCAGAAGGGGATCAGGGCGCAAGAAGTACACCTTTCCCCCATTCGTCGCCCCCCCAGCATAAGGTATAAGCGCCGCCCACGTCCGGCCAAGTCCGGCGAAGTTTTTGTCACCGGGCTTCATCGTTTTTCATCGTTTCATCGCTTTTCACCATTTCAGCGAAGACCACCCAGGAGTTGCATCCCAGGGGAGGGGGGGAAGACTGGGGGAGGGCGAGAAGGAGTGGGGCGACCATGACCCTCGGATCCGGCCCTACAGACCCTATCTTTCTGCTGCACGTTTCGAGCCCGATCGATCTGTGAGGGCCCGGGGGCCCGAAAAATGCGAGACTGCCCGGCTCAAGCAAAGTGCGACGCCATGATCTCCATGATCTCAGGGTAGGAGGGCGGGAGGGATCCATCGACGGAAGCTCTTTGGGACCACAGCAGATCGATCTGGCTCGCAGAATCCCGCAGGCAGCTGGGGCCTCGGGCTCCTGGGGGGCTGACCTGCTGCGATGCTGCAGCTGTCTTCGCAACGTCGGATCTCGGGCTGACGTGGCGGCGGCCCGTGGTGGGACGCGCCGCCGCCCTCGTCGACGTCCTCGCCGCCCCCGCCCCCGCGGGCCAGCGCAGGCGGCGCGACGGGCCCCGGGGCCGAGCTCCGTGGCCCTCGCGGAACCCGTGCGAGTCACCAACAAAAACTTTGAGGCATCCCCAGGATTCCTCCTCGGAGGCTCCCAGTACAGGTGTCGCCCCCGCCAACTCACACAGAAAGCTCCGTGTTAGCGACGAGAGAGAACGAGGTCGACTGCGCCGAAATTGGCGCGTTAGTTGCCCGCGTAAGGTCGCGCGCAGGCGCCGTCGTCTCCAACGTGGCGAGCCACGCTCGCGGCCCGCGTAAGCTGTCGCGCAGGGTCGCTGTGCCACCTCGCGTGTAAGACTCCCTCTTGCCTCTTGTCGCTCAGGGGCGGCCGGGTTTGCCTCGGAATCCTGGGAGTAGCGGCCTCGGCCTCGTTTCGTTCCCCCCAGTGGGCGCCCCCGCGCCGCCGCCGTGGCCACACGGTGCTTGCGCCGCTTGCGGTGCCTGCGCTGCGTTAGCTTGCGCAGTCGGGCATGTCCCTCGACAGGAGGAACACTCAGAAACAGTAAGCAAATTGTCTAGGGACGATTTTTCGAGTGCTTCTCTATTTTTCCTAACAGCGAAGACTGATAGGTTTCCAGTAGTGTCAAAAGAGAGCATCATGACTCTCCAGGGGGGTTTGGGCGGCATCCGGACAGGGATCCGCGGAAGGCGTTTTAAGCAAACAGTTACACACTTCGTGGTCTTCGAGGTCCCAGAATTCCATTCTTGGGCATGATTTTGAATGCCCAGAGCCAACTGTAGGCCACTTCATGGTCTTCGAGGTCCCAGAACTCCATTCCTGGGCATGATTTTGAATGCCCGGAGCCAACTGTAGGCCACTTCATGGTCTTCGAGGTCCCAGAACTCCATTCCTGGGCATGATTTTGAATGCCCGGAGCCATCTGTAGGCCACTTCGTGTTCTTCGAGTTCCCAGAACTCCATTCCCGGGCCACATTTTGAATGCTGAGGCATGCTGAGGTTGAGGCTGATGCAGGCTGAGGCTGAGGCAGGCTGAGGCTGAGGCCGAGGCTGAAGGCAGACTGAGGCTGAGGCTGCAGCAGGCTGAGGCTGAGGCAGAGGCAGGCTGAGGCTGAGGCTGAGGCAGGCGTATGCTGAGGCAGGCTGAGGCTGAGGCTGAGGCTGATGCAGGCTGAGGCTGAAGCAGGCTGAGGCTGAGGCTGAGGCTGAGGCAGGCTTAGGCTGAGGCTGACGCAGGCTGAGGCTGAGGCAGGCTGAGGCTGAGGCTGAGGCAGGCTGAGGCTGAGGCTGTGACTGCTACTGCCGTTGCCACTGCGACTGTCATCGCGAATGCGACTGCGACTGCGAGAACAGCAGAATTCTAGAACTGGATTGTCATCTGAATCTTAAGGGGAATGCTTCCAGATATGCTCCTACACATCGCTGTTAGGTTGCTTTGCTGGGATCATATTTTTGAATGTTGGTTGACTGTTCTATTCTCCGCCCAAGACCCGCCTGTAAGGGGGCATGCCCGACCTAACGTTAGCTAGGAAGCGTGAGGGGCCACGGTGCGTGGCAGCCGTCCGCGGCGGGCGTCGGCGGGGGCGGCGTCCCCCGAGCTCGGAGCACGGCGCGCCGCCGCCGCCGCAGCCAACGCCGACATCCGACGTCTTGAGCCTTTCCACGCGCGGCCCCCAGAAGTCGCGGCCCTTTCCCCGGGGCCGGCTCTCGTCCCGAGCCGTTTGTCGGGGCTCGGGAGACATGGGTCAATGCACACAGGTTTCAGGCAGCGCGCCAGAGATCTTGCATGCTCCTGCAGAGCCACGGGTGCGTTGACCCGGGGCTCGGGCGCAGGATCCTGCGGGATCTTGCAGGATCTTGCAAAGCCCAGCTAACCCGATTCTGGATTGACCCGCGTCAGTAGAGGAGGAGGAA